CACACACACACACACACACACACACACACACACACACCCGCTTCTTCCAAGGACGGTCCCCTCCTGACTACATGTCCAGGGCGAACGAGGTGAAGTTTCACCACCTTTACCTCTACTGAGTATCCCATGGACTGCCCAGAGAACAAACAAGCCTGTCTTTGAGGAAGTGTAGGTATGTTTAAGGTTTTACTTTCCTGAGATTAACCAGCTGTAAACGAAATAGTCAAGAAAAGGAAAAAAGGATGCTACTCTGGCAGCCTGATTGTTAGAAACTGCAATCCCAAAGGCATGTGATTCTTACCCACCAGCTTCTCCGAGGGAGGAGGATTGGCAATCTCCTCCTGAGCGATTAACTGCCTCTGAACGCCCACTGGAGAGGCATGAGAGAAAACCAGCTAGGGGTCAGTTCTGACTCAAGGGTACACAACAGCCACCACCGTGGGATGAGTTTCACATATCCGGAGTGAAAACTTAATGAAAAGTTATGTGGATCGGTGCTCACCAAGCTCATCTATCCGCTTCAGTAATTCAACAGCATCGAGTCCCACGGAGAGTTTTACAAAAACTTGCACAAATGGGTTCCTTAGAGTATTCTAAGAGTAATAATAGAAAATTAGTTTCCATACAGGAAAGAAATACGCTTAATTATTGTCTCTCTAATAACACCCACAGTGAAATATAGTGCCACTGAACGTTAAAGCTCCAACATATTGCAAAGGTTCCCATGCAAATTCTTGAGAAAGAGGGATGTGGCTGGTAATGACTTGTGAAGTTGGATCTTTGTCTACAGACATCAGTTGATTAGCATGCTAAAATTACCAGCTATGACCATAATTATCTGCTTTAGGAACTTATATTGCATTTAAGAGTTATTTCCTCAGTATTAACTGTATTAATTTATTTTTAACATACGTTCTACACAATTTAGGGAACTCTGCTGGCCTAGGAGATAACAAGTGCCTCTATTAACTCAAAGACAGGCACTTCAAATTCACTAGCTGCTTCCTGGGAGAAAGATGGCAATCTACTCTGTAATTCACAGCTTCTACAAACCCGCTGGGGGCTCAGCTAAAAGCAGGTTCCCACCTGATGGCACACAACAACAACAACAACAATACACAATTTAGGGAGTTATGGTGGTTTTGTGAGTAGGCAGGTGATTCGTAGTTTTGGAGTTTTGTTCACCTGGGAAATACATAACCAATTTTAAGAAGTGTGATGTCTCCATGCAATTCGACATTAAAATTCATTTGCTATTCTACTTCTCCCACTTCCTAGGTGGGATAATTTCAGTAATTACTCAGGTTTTCCAGATTAAGATTCTTTCCTTAAAAGTAAGGATATATGGCTCTTCAATACAAAAAAAAAGAAATTACTATAGTATTTTCTCAAGTTGTAGTAGATGCAACTAAGTGAAAATTGTTTTAAAAATGACAACCTGTCAACTGTTAGGGAAAAAGATACACCTGAGTTAGGCACTGTCTTCTGTAGTTCACTTTAAAGGTTCGATGTAGATTTCAACAGAACCTTGAGACAAGTATTTATTTTTTGTTGTCTCCTTGAGAGAAAGGTGGGCAGTCTTCTCCCATGTGATTTACTGCCTCTGAAAGTCCACTAGGGAGTCAGCTATGGGCCAGCTCCAAATTCATAGTACATAAAAGCAATAACAGATAACAGACCTGGGGACAAGAGAAACCAAATCAATTTACCAAGGGACACATGGCGCTCACTCATTGCGGCAGTCAGAACTGGCTCAGAGCCCCTCCTCCAGCAGGACTCAGAGGCTGTAAATCACCCAGGAGGAGAGTTCCCATCTTCCTCTCTCAGATCTGCTGGCGCATTTGGATCTCTAGAGAGGTGTGACCATTGGACTAGCAATGCAACTCCCTACAGACTGTACCACACAATCGTTGTTGTTGTTAGGTGTCACCAAGTCAGCTGTGACTTAGAGCAATGCTATGAACAACAGATCTGAACCTTGCCCTACCCTGAATGAGCCTCACAATCTTTGGTCGGTTCAAGTCCATGGTTACAGTCACTGTGTCAATTCATCTTGTTTGGGTTCCTCTTGTTTCTCTGATTCTCCACCCTTCCCAGCACGCTGTATTTTTCTTAGGACTGACCACTCAGTGAGGGCCAAGAGGAAAGTTAGAAGTTAACACCTTAACCCAAGTAAAGAAAGACTTATTTGTTTTATTTGTGTAATTTATTCTCAGCTGTATTTCTCATGAGAGTATACTTGGTATTGTTATGTTTAATTGAGTTGAAAGTGACCCATAGCTGACTCTCTAGGTTTTTAGAGGCAGTAAATCACATGACAGGAGATTAACCATCTTTCTACTGATGAGCAACTAGTGGATTTGAACCACGATCCTTTGGGTTGGCAGCACAGTTCCTTACCACTAGGCCACTAGAGCGCTAGTGCAACTTAATGTTGTAAGGTGCTGCAAATTGACTATACTCATAGTAACCCCATGAACAACATATCAAAAGCACTTAATAGTTCGCCTTAATGTTTTATCTTTTGTTAAAGTTAGGTGATTAAGGATATCTAGTTTTAGGATATAGATTGACACAGTGACAATGGGGTTAGCTATGTCTAAGATGGCAAGGTTGTCTCAGGATAGGACAAGGTTCAGAGCCAACTTGACAGCACATAACAAAACCAGCAATATTACAATACATATACAATGGATTTTTTAAAATCTGCACCAGCTGAGAGATCTGAGACTATCTCATGGCAGGTACACCGATGGTTGTGTGCCACGCTTGTTTACCAAGTGTTTAGCTCATACATCAGGAAATCTAAGTGTTTGCTAACCAGCAATATGTTGTGTTATTTGCAAATCTTAAAATAATCCAATAAACCTTATCTCCATTCTCCCAACACCTGTACAATATAGCCTGCATAATACGTGTGATCCTATTTAAAATGCTTCCACATGTATGGCCTTACTCTATCCTGACAGCTTTTGAAGTAGTTAACAAGATATCCATGTTAAAGGTTCTGAAACGAAAAGTATAGCTCTTTCAAGTTTTTTGTCTCCGAGTTTATAGCAATAAAATTGGGCTAAAACTCAACACTTGAAATTTTAAATTCTCTGCACATTTGCAGAACTAATATTTTCCTCAATAATTGCGAATAATAGTTTATTTTCATCTAGAACAGAATAAAGATATTTCTATTAGTCGATAGTCCCTTTATCAACAAAGCTATAGAATTTCTTAGCAAATTACTTGCATTTTAGAACAATTAAGAACACAAAGCTCATCCTTTGTTAATTCATCACATTGTCTAGCAGACATTTTATTGAGGAAATAATTAGTTTTTTTCTTTTTTAAGGGAGGGGAAAAATCGACAAGAGCAATTTTCCACTTAGCAGAATACATATATCCATAAAGTATCCATAGAATTTATGTTATCTAAGACTTACTGGGGAGAAGGGGAAAACAGAATAAAATGATATAAAACTGGAACAAAAATTTAATAGAAAATTATAGAGAAGATGTTGGACAAAAAGTTTATTTTATATTTAGTTCCAAAATTTATTGTTGTTAGAGTGAAAAGAAAAACTACTGACTGGGGGGAAAAACATTTGGCAATACCATTTCTGACAAGGGTCTCATATCAAAAAGTTACAGAATCCTACAGGGCCTCTAAAAGAAAAAGACTGATCACACAATTACAAAATGAGCAAAAGACATGGAAAGAATTTTCACAGAGGAAGATATTTGGATCTCCAACAGACACCTGAAGAAATGTCCCAAATCACTGGCAACAAAAGAGATGCAAATGAAAACCACAACGAGATACCATCTCATTCCAGTAGCAGTGGTAAAGTTTCAAAGGACAGCAAGTAGTAAATGTCGGAGTGGATGTGGACAGATAGGAATTCTTATGCATTGTTGGTGAAATTGTAAAATGGTACAACCGTTTTGGAAGTCAGTTTGCCATTTCCTCAAAAAGCTGAACATAGAAATTCCATAGCTATTTCACTGCTTGGAATATACCCTGAGAAAATGAGAACTGAGGCACAAATGGAGAATTGTACACCAATGTTCATAACAGCATTATTCACCATCACAAGAGCATGGAAATAGCCCAAATGTCCAACCAAAATCTAATGGATTGAGAAATTATGGTATATTACCATGATGAAATATGACCTAGCACGCAGGAACAATGATTTTGTAAATTATAACCTAACTTGTGAGGGACTGGAGAGCAATATACTAAGTGAACTAACTCAGTCCCACAAGGACAAATATTGTATGAGACCATTATTGTAGAATGAGTATGAATATCCAATGAATGGGTGGAGGAAGGGAGCTGAGGGGTGAGAATGGGGAGGGGTACCGTGGTTAATCATAGGGTAACACAACTTGATGAGTGGGTGAAACAAATGGGAAAGATCCAGTGTAAAAAAGAACGTATACAAACTTTGTAAATAAACCAGTATAAAAAAAAATATTGTTGCTGATTAAGAATTGACTCATAGATGACCCTCTAGAGGGTTTTTGGAAGCTGTAAATCACACAAGAGGAGACTGGCCATCTTTTACCCACAGAGCTGCTGATGTATGTTCCAAATGCCCAAAGATGTGCCAACTTTGGGTTAACAGTTTAACACTCTATAACACTCAAACATCCTTTATTTTTATTAAAACAACTAAAGTCAATTTTAGAAATGTACCTTCTCTCTACAACAACATCCAAGTTGTAATTATTGCTGTATACTAATTCTTTAGTGACGGCAGATGCATAAAGCATCTTTCAGGTGTGATGTGTCAGAGTATGTTGTTTGTGCAACATTCTTCAATCTCTGTTTGTTCCTGTCAATGTCTTTTCTCCATTGCCTAAATAATCTTATTCTCCTCTTTAATCTGTAGTCATAAATAACCATGCTTGTAAGGGAAGCATTTCCTCACATTATTTGTATCATCTTCAGAAAACATTGTATCTTTTGTGAGAATTGCACATTACACTTGGCAATGAATATGCATGATCTTGTGTTGCATTGTTAAATCTTTAACTTACAGTATCATTCAGATTGTTCGAGTGAGGACAAAATGTTGAAGGATCAGTACATTAGAACATTTTTTACAGGTATGGGAGCATTTGTTTCCTTAAATGATCTTGAATTTTAAACTTCATATAGGAGAACATCTTTTGTACAATATGTTGGAGAATAAATTTGGCATTTCATAATGCATATATCATATGTTTCAACCAAAGGACTCTTTAAAGATAGTGTGCTGCTCTAAACTACTGGTAATTTGAGAATTCTCACTTCATGAAAACAGTAAATCTTGAAAGGGAGTGACAAGTGAAAGAAGCATACTTGAAAGTGGTTTTTGGTAGTATTTTACTTTTATAAAGTAGATTTGCATAGACTACTTTTTGTCTCAAGATCAACTTGTAAAATGTCTTATCTTTGAATTACAGAAGAGCCGAAGTACAAGAGGCGAGGATGGCTATATACATGAGTGACAAATCTCTTATTCTGTCTCTGGAAGAAAGGCAATTTTAGTGTGTTGCATATGGATTCACAGTTACTATCTACTGATTCATAATGAAGACATTAAAATATCACATCGTTGCAGTTCCTACTAAAGTGAATGACATAACCACCCCATACCTGGAGCATTGGAATCGTCTGGTTTAGCAAGTGGAAGGAATTCATGAAAAGTGGCGATTTATTCATCCACTCTTGAGATTTCTCTCTTAATTCTGCCAGCTGTCTCAGAGTTACATTAGACTAAAAGACAGAAACATAATTGGTATGTTAGTATTTTTCCTTTCTTTCCAAAAGGTAGCTGAAGATTGATTGTTAAAGAACTTTAAAAACTAGTTCTAAAATGTGAAGCTGGTAAGGGGTAAAAAAAGCTACATTTTCTCATACAGTCAAAAGATAGGGCGATAATAGGCAGAGATCAATAATAATTACATAAAATACAATATATATGAAAGATTGCATAAAATACCACGTACATGAATGAAGCACAATGTATATGAATGATTGCAAAACAGTAAAAAAGACATTAAAAAGAGGATTAAAACAGCTAAATAAACTATTACAAAAATAAGTAATAAAAATATAGAGTAACTATATTTCTTCTAGTATTTTTTTAAAGTCTTAAAAACGGCAATTAGACAAAAGCAAGGCATATCTTCTGAGCATTTTACAAGTTAATACTTTATACCAATGATATTCTTCATTTTTTAATACTTAGCATTCTTGTCTTAGGACACAGGGAGGAGAAGACTTCCAAATGTCAATAGTGGAAATAGTCATACTGTATATACCTTTTTGGGAAAGCAATGTGACAATAGCTGTTAGGCACCATTGAGACAAGTATGACTTGTAGTAACCCTATATCTGAACCCCATCATGTCCTGTGCCATATTCACAGTCTCTTACATACTTGAGCCCATTGCTGCAGTCACTGTGTCCAATACATCTGGTTGAGAGACGTTTTTTCCTTAACCATTCCTCCGCCTTTCCCAGCATGATGTCGCTCTCCAAAGAATATAGCCGCCCCTAGCTACGTGCCTAATGTACGTGAGACAAAGCTTTATCATCTTTGCAGCCAAGGCTGTACCTTCTTCTCTAAGAAATATCTGTTTGGTCTTTTGCCAGTCCATGGGACCTTCGGTACTCTTCTCTAGCACCACAGTTCAAAGGCATCAATTCTCCTGCTGTCGTCCTTAGTCATTGTCCAGCTCTCAGCAGTATGGCAAGTGATTGAAAAGACCATGCTCTGAATCAAGTGCATTTTAGTCCTCAAACTGACATCAATATTCCTCAGTAACTTGGAGAGCTCCCTAACTGCAGACTTTCTCAGTGCAGCAGTATGTCTCCTGAATACTGGTACCAAATATACTGATTATGGACTTAAGTAAGAGGAAGTTGTTGACAGTTTCAATCTTTGTTCCATCTGTCATGATGTAGTCTTATAGGTCCAGTGGTGGGAATTTTTGCTTTATGACTTTGGGATGCAGTACATACAAAGGCAGCACTGTCTGATCTTCTACAGCAAACACTTCAAGTCTTCCTAGCTTTCAGCAACCAAGGTGTGTCATGAAGGTTATTGATGAGTCTTCCTTCAATCCTGATGCCACATTTTCTTTATAGAGTTCAGGTTCTTGAATAATTTGCTCAGCATACAGATTGATGAGGTATGGATAAAGGATACAACCTTGACACACAACTTTCTTTATTTTAAACCATGTAGTGTTCCTTTGCTCTGTTTGCAGAACAGCTTCTTGATACAGGTACAAGTTTGACATGACCACAATTAAGTGTTCTGGGATTCCCATTCTTCTCAATGTTAGCCAAATTTGTTATGATCCATACAGTCATATGCCTTTGCAGTCAATAAAGCATAAATAGACATTGTTCTGGAATTTTTTGTTTTCAGCCCCAATCCATCTGACATCAGCAGTAATTTCCCTGGTGCCACTACCTCTTCTAAATTCAGTTGGAACTTCTGGCAGTTCTCTGTCAATGTGCTGTTCTGGTCATTTTTGAATGATCTTCAGCACTATTTTTCTTGAATGTGATATTAATGATATTGTTCAATAATTTCCACATTCTGTACCTTTCTTGGCAATTGGAACAAAGATGGATCTCTTTCAGTCAGTTGGCTAGGCAGCTGTCCTCCAAATTTCCTGGCATAGACTGGTGGGCACATCCAGAGCTGCATTTGTCATGTGAAACATGTCAGTTGATAGCGCATTGATCCCTAGGGCCTTCTGTTTTCCAATGTCTCCATTACAACTTGAACATCTTTCTTCCTTACCATAGGCTCTTGGTTATGTACTTCTTAAAATGTTTCCATGTCAGTCAATTAATTATGGTACAGAGATTCTGTATTCTCTCCATCTTCTTGCCATTATTCCTAGGTCTTTCAAGATTTTTACCATACATCTCTTAAGTATTGTATCTTGTGGCTTGAATTTGTTTTTCAGTTCTTTCAGCTTGAGAAATGCCGAGTGAGTTCTTCCCTTTTTAATATCTAACTGTAGGTCTCTGCATATTCTGTTATAATAGTTTGCTTTGTCTTCTTGAGCTGCACTTTGAAATCTGTCCTGCTATTTTCAACATCTCTTTTGTTTTGGTTTCTCAACATTCTAGTACAATTTGCAGGTTCTCTTCTGATATCTATTTTGGTTTTTTCTTCCTCCTGTGTCTTTGAAGTGACCTTTTGCTTAGATCATGTATGATTGTCTTAAAAGTCATCCACAACTCATCGGGTTCTTGATCATTGGTGTCCATTGCTTAAATCTTATTCTTAAGATGACTTTCAAAGTCAAGTGGAATTGACTCGAGATCATATTTTGGTTCTCATGGACTTATTTTTTCTTCAATTTCTATTTGAACTTGCACATGAATAATTGATGGTCTGTTGCACAGCAAGAACTTGGTCTGGTTTTCACTGCTAATATTGAGCTTCTCCAATAACTCCTTCCACAAATGTAGTCAATCTGATTTTCATGCCATTCATTTGGTGAGGTGCATGAAAAGTCATTTGTGTTTCTTAAAAAAAGCATTAATCATGAATAAATTATTGAATGTACAAAATTCAATCATTCCATTTCCAGGCTTGTTTCTATAACAAAGTCTGTACTTTCCAACTATTTTTCCCCTTTTATTGATTCCAACTTTTTGCATTCCAATCATCAACTATCATTAACCTACCTTGATTGCTATTTTGGACTGAAAAATTTGATAAAGGTTTTCAATTTCGTCCTCTTTTACTTTAGCTATTCATGCGTATGTTTGAATAATAATTATATTAACAGGTCTTCCTTGTATGTTAGTGAATAATATCCTATCACTTACAGTACTATACTTTATGACAGAATTTTTTTAACTATAAATGTCACATCATCCTTCCTCTATTTTTTTTATTCCCAATATAGTATACCATGTGATTTTCTGATACAAAGTGGACAAAGCCAGTCTATTTCATCTTACTAAAGCCTAGAATCCCAATGTCCATGTGTTCTATTTCACTTTTCACAACTTCTTGTTTTCCAACATTTATGTTTTATACATTTCATGTTTTAACTATTAAAATATGTTTCTCTTCATTTTGATTGACTTCCAACCTGGAATCTTCCTCAAATACTATAACTATCTATGATCCTCTACTGTTCATATGGTTTTCAGAGGCCTGATATTTCAAAAGTAGACAGCCAATTAACAAAATGCAATGTCCTTCACCCCTGAACATGTAACTCTTTGAAATCAAAATAGCATATAAACAAGAGAACTTGTCACAAAATTGTTTATATTAGAAAAAATAAAACCTGGGGAGAAGCAAATGCTCAATAAATGGGGATTAACTAAATGGATAACATGTACTGAAAAGAAATACATCTTTAAGGAAAAAGAATTATACTGATTGAGTTTGCAGGATTTCCACCAGCTACTGCAGCATGAGAAATGAACATGTAGGAAAGCATGATACTGCAGTCTCATTTTAAGGATGTTGATAATGGCCAGAGAGCTGTAGATATGGATATAGTATAACATCTGTAAAGGACTAGGAGAATGTAGAGAAATCACAGGAAGACATGTTCTTCTTGAAGGTCAGCTTGTATAAGTTTTCAGGAAACAAAGAGTGGGATCAAGGTAGGAAGAAAAGAGGAATTGACTGTGAAACAAAGAAGGAAATAGTAAGGAAAAAAGATCACTAAAACATTTAGCATGTATGTAACTTCATGTATGAATTAAAACAAATAAGATGTTAAAACACTAACAAACAAACTCTATTGCAGAAATTGGTGATAACCACATCTATTTTCATATGTTGTTGTTGTTGTTGCTGTTGTTGTTGTGTACAACCTAGTCAGAACCGACCCATAGCTAGACCTCTGGCAGGTTTTCAGAGGCAATTAATCACACAGGAGGAGACTTCCCACTTTCTTCCACAGAGCAGCTAGTGGCCTTGAACCATTTGCTTTTGGGATTGTAGTGAAACCTATTGTTGCTAGGCCACCAGAGCTCATTTTCATATGGTTCCCAAAATAATATTATATTCATTTATAGTTTAGTGATAAAAATAATGGTAAAATCCAACACAGGAATGATTTTTATTTAATCTTTCACTCTAAAAGTATTAAGTTTATAATTCAAATCATTAAAGTAAATTTTAAAAGTGAGAAGAAAATGTTACAATAGTTAAATTCAATATCTAATAAGTATAGTTTATTTTCATAATATCGTCTTTCTCCAAGCATAACCTCTATACAACATAAGATATTAAAACGTTCAATCAAATATTAAGCAAAGAACCTATACCTTAGAAATTGCTTTTATTCAAACTATTTATATAATATGACATTATTTTATTTTGATGATATTATTTTAAACATTCTGAGTTACCAATTGAAGATTTATTTTTTTTTTTAGAAAAACTAAAAAACCTGATGTCCTGCTTCAATCTAACCTCGTTTTCAATTGGCCATATGAACCATTTCTCTTCAAAGGGTTAGTACGCAATCTACATTGCTCTAACACATAGGGCAAAAGTTGAAAATTATTAAGACTTTCAAAGAACCAGGGGTAATAATAATAGGAAAGATATAAAGTAATCAACTGAAGTAGATTCAATTTGAAAGCTGACTACTTCAAAAATCATCTCAACACTTAATAGAAACTTTGAGTGGTAATGCTCAAACCTTTTCCATGATTGCTTCTGTGACTGGAGTTTTGGGTGCATACATGATCTTTCCCAACAACATAGGTTTCAAGAAAGCCCAAATCACAGGTCCAGCAGGCATATTGATAATGTCTTTATAAAGGGAGAAGCAAAACGGGGCTGAAAATAAAAAGTGAAAGAAAACATTTAATATACATAGTACAAATACATTTTCTCAGGGTAAATTGACAGAGATTACTATCATCACGCTAAAATACACATTTTAGCATTATTAAAAGGGGTGAGGTCCTAGCATCAAAGTGAGAAAACATAGTACCAGATCTTATTAGGTACAAAAATTTAAGTCAACAAGCCAATCCAGAATAAATAATGGTGTTTTGCCAGGAGGAAATAGAAAGACTGAGAATGACATTTTAAGATTGCTTCCAACAGATACATTCACAAGCATTTCTTTTTTTTAATATTTATTTTATTTTATTATTTTTTGTGTGTGTGTACCGTCAAATCAGATCTGACTGGTACAGGAGGAGGTTCCCCCTCCTTCCCCGGCAGAGCATCTGGTGGATTCGAACCATGCGCCTCTGGGATTGTAGTTGCAGCTCCTTGGCACCAGGCCACCAGAGCTCCCCCAAGCATTTCATTTAAAAAAAAAGAAAGAAAGAAAGAAAAAGGTACTAAATCTTGTTACTGGGATAATGCTTAGCACGTAAGAGTGTTCAATAAATATTTGTTAAATGAATTAAGAAAACCACGTGAATGAGTCAATCCAAGTGCAAAACTTCAAATGCAGAAGGTCTTATTTTCCAAATCAAAGTTTATATATCAAGGAAACAGCTTTGATGGACCACTAAACATTTATAGTTCTACTTCATTCATGAAGCTCTACCTCAGACGATATAAATTTCTAATTCTAGAAATTTAAAAACATATTGACCAAAGCAGATTTAAGACATGGGGGGTTTCTTTGTATTCTCTATTAGCAAGGCTTATCATAGAGTGCAGGTCTTTTGTGTAAAGCTTACTCTGAGTCCTATTTGACTCGAAAACCCTTAACCACTGCTAAATAAGACTAGTGCTGTTAATATCTGGAGGAATGTTCTTCCACTTTGCACATCACTCTTTCTCAATGTGCTATATGAGGTAACCTAGGTTTGCTATGATGCTGAACCTTGTGCCATGGGGATATCAAATACCAGAATGGTTTCCAATTGTAGACAGTGTTTAGTGGAGCTCCCAGTTGTAAAAAAACAGGTTGAGAAGCAGGGGTGGCATCCACTTCCTAAACCACACGCCTCTCTAGGAAACTCTATGAACTTACAGAAACAATGATAGCTATGGAAAGGCAATAGGTCTTTTGTTCATAAAGTCGCTATGAGTCGACTTCGACTCGATGGCAATCAACAACAACAACAACACTAGAAAGTCAGGCTTAGTTATGCTTCAGAAATTGTAAATATACTGCCGTGGCTAACCAGATAGACTTTTCCGCTGAGGGTGTCCCAATTAGTTACCCAAGATGGGAGACCTTGGCCAACTTACTTAGTTTCTAGATCCCTCTTTCTGTTTCTGTAAAATGGGGATAATCGTAGTTCTTACTTCATGAGATTGATATGAAGAGCAAATAACTTCATATGCATAACATGTTGGACATGTGGTATGAGCTATAGAGGGTTTTCTATGTTTATTTTTGGAAAAATTTTCATGTTATTACACTTGAGTTCCATCACATTATCCCTGACTCACAGTGATCCCATATATAACAGCAGAAAGCCTGCCCTGGCCTGCACCATCCACATGATCTCGGCTGGGTTTAAGGCCCTCATGGCAGGCCTGGTGGCAACGCATCTCACTGAGAGCTTGCCTCTTTTTCACTGTTCCTCTCCTTTACCAAGCAAGCATTGTATCTCTCTCCAGGGTCTTGGTTCCCTTGATAACACGCCCAAAGTATCGGAGATGAAATCATACCATTTTCATCTCTCTCTCATTTATTATGGAGTAAGAAAAATACAAAAGACAATGTATGTGGGACAGCACTAACATGCCTGTCTTGAAATATACTCACTGGCATTTAAAGGAAGTCCATATTTTTTAGCAATTTCCTCTTTAGTTAATTTGTAAGTCAAAAAATCCTTTGTGTGGTTGCCTTTGGGCTTCTGGGAAGAGGGCAGCATAGCAGTTAAATATTCAGTGGTAATTCCTTGGGAACATAATGCTTGGGAAATGGTACTGAATGATCCTTGGGGTGTGCTCACTCGGTTGCTTCGGTATACCCCCTGTGAAATAAAAGTCTGTCATCATTAACATTATATGAGCTATAGATACCAGTGAAAATGACATCGAACAAAAACACTTGAAACTTCTTAGAATATCCTTCCAATTTCCATAATCTCTTGCAAATGTGCATCCCAGAGGTGAATGCAAGACAGGATGGTACAACTCACCAATTTAAGTGCCAAATAGTGTCACCCACGTAGAAGAGTTTTCCTATGGGTGATTTTTTCATTCAATTTACTGAAGTTATAGCTGAATATGTTATAAGTAACTTTAAGAGAAAGTTTTATGACAAAAAATCATTTCCAACCTGAACTTTTCTGGGCTACAGCTCTACCTGAGTAAAGGAAGCACTTCTGGGCAGATGCATCTGCTTCAGGGATTTCATCTTGTCCAGAAGCAAACTTGAGCTCGAAGTCATCTGATTGAGGATTTCCTTCAGCCTGAAGAAGAGCTCTATCATCTTCTCCATTGGTTTTTGATCTTGCCGAGGGAAAAACACCTAACAGAGACAACAGAAGCCAATGACTCAAGGGAAGAAAGCAGGACCTTCCGATAACTTTGTAGCTGCTGCTGTGTGCCGTCGAATCAGAGTCTACCCACAGCTGACCCTCCAATGAGTTCTCAGGGACAGAAAATGACATGAGGGGAGACTGCCCATCTGTCTCCTGTGGAGCAAGTGGTGGGTCTGAATCGGGTACCTTTGGGTTTGCAGCACAGCTTCTTACCACTAGGCCACTAGAGCACCCAGTTGATAGAGAATGTAAATGGGTACAGTCATTTTGAAAAACAGGTGGACAACTTAGTAAATGGTTAAACATACTATCCACAAATCAAATTCTTAGGTGTTAAACCTAAGAGGGGGAAAAATGCATATATCCATTCAAAGACATGCATGTGAATGTCCAAGTAATATTATTCAAATGTTAGTTGCAACAGACAAATTTTGAGAACAGTCCAGAAAAATGGGTAAATAAACATGTTACATCCTTTCAAGGGAATACTAATTGCCAATTAAAATAATTAAAATAGTGATATCTACTACCACATGTGCCCAATTATAGACACCAAATACAAATTCATATGCATGGTTAAATTTATATGAAATTAGAGGAAAAGCAAGTCTATAGACAGAAAATAGAGTAGAGGTTGCCTGGGGCTGGGTGTCAGGATAATAACTGATTGCAATACATGTGGGGTTTCTTTTGGGGTTGATGGAAAAGCCCCAAAACTAGATTGTGATGATGGTTTCACAACTCTGCATTGGCTAAAAAGCATTGGTTCCACACTAACAAATGAATTCCATGATATGTAAAACATACTTCAGTAAAGTTGTAAAAAATTATTTTAAAAGTCAGAAAAGCAGAAGTCAGTTATGTAATTATGGATATTATTATTCAAAATTATATAACATCCAATGACAAATCAGAAAGCTTGTGTTCCAAACCTCATGTGTTTTTATTCAAGATTCATAATTTTATCAACATACTGTTTATTTATTACTCAAAGGCACATTGAAACATTTTAGAGTAATTTAGAGGTCTTATTTACCCACCTTTTCACTTATGCATTTATTGTTGTCACTGATAGGTGCTGTCGAGTTGACTATACCTCAGAGTAACTATGAAAAACAGACTTGAACTTGGCCCTTTCCTGTGCTATCGTCACTACTCACCATCTCTGCTCTAGGTGAGCCCGCTGATACAGTCACTGGGCCAGTGTATCTATTGGAGAGCCTTCCTCTCATTCACTCACCATCCACCTGCCCAAGCATGACATTCTTTTTCTGAGGACTGACCTCTCCTAACAGCACGCCCAAAGTATATGAGATGAAGTTTCCCCATCCTTGCCTCCAGGGAGCATTCTGGTTTCACTTTCTATAAGTCGTATTTGGTTTTTGTTTTATTTTTCCTTTTGGCAGTCCATAGGATATTCTGTATTCTTCTCCAACACCACAACTTAATGTCATCAATTTGTCTTCTGTCATCCTTATTCACTGTCCAACTTCTGGATTCACAGCAAAGACTTGAGAAGACTTCATTTCTCTAGCAAGTCTACTCATCTATTTACTATGTATTAGTTGAGTGTCTACTGTATTATCAGAGTGCTGGTGGTACAGTGGTTAAACATTTAGCTGCTGACTGAAAGATCAATCATTCAAACTCGCTCTGCAGGAGGGAGATAAGGAAGTCTGTTTCTGTAAAGACAGCCTTGGAAATCCTGTGAAGAAGTTCTACACTTCTCGACTGGGTGCCCCACGGAATATTCTCATGCACTGTCATTGGTTTCTCATGTTGCCAGCACCCATATAGTAATGGGTATAGTACGGCAAAAAATGTAGCATCATCACTCTAGTAAGAGCGACAGTCATCAGAAAAGTAAATGACAAAAATCTGAGTGGTGATTTTGTCTGAAAGGGTGAGGAAAAAAAAAACACACCAAAAAACCCCAAACTATGGGAAAAGTAAAGAGGAAAAGCCTCCAGGCAAAGGCACAAAGCTGTTGGGGGCGCTTGAGGAAGGAAAGCACCTAGTGTGCCCAAGGAAGTCCAAGGTCATCGTGTAAGCACAAAATTCAATTAGAAATACAGCTTTGTACTTGCATGCCCCTCACTGTATAGTCTTCATTCAGAGAGACATACCTATCTCAATAGATGACTATTAGCTGTAATCAGATATTTATAAATTAGATCAACTATTTCCATTTCTCTTCAAGTTCTGCCAAAATCATAAGGGTTCCTTGAATTTTGGCGGCGTAAAAAAGTAAATAAAAGCTAATTGGCAAGACTTAACTTTTTTTTGCAATATTTGAAAGAATTAGAAATAGTCTTGCTTGTCAAATACACATACATAATTGCTAGATACAATAAGAAATATTTCAGTCAATTCTTGCTCTGCAGAAGCAATTTTTAAATAAGAATTGAAATGGTAAGGGGAAAAATTAATATTTTCACTACATTTTAGATTACAGTTTATGTAAAATAGCTCTGGGCTTACTTCATGGTGTTTGCTGAGCTCTACTTTCCTGGGGATTTGGAATGTTTTCAAGAACAATGATGTCAATTGCGACGTTTATGTCATCGTGGAGATAGATTGGAAAAATATGAAAATTAAGCAAAAGCTTTACTATGTTAGAAATGCGATTGAAAACAAATAGAGCAGGAAAATGGGCTTCATAGTATGGCAAGGGAGATGGGATGCATTTTAAACAGAACGGACAACATAGACCTCTCTGGCAAGGTCAAGACCATCCAAGGACAAGCAGCCATTCTAGTCATATGATGGCTGCTTTCTGGAGTGAATCCACAAAGTAAGGCAAAACCAAGATTTTAAAGACTAGAAGTTGTGTAAATAATGAGGATTTGTTTAGTTGCTTTTTCTTTCAGTATTTGGCAATTTACTTGTTTTAAAAAAATGGGAATGCACAGAAAGGTTTTACAAGAAGGTGACACAGTGTGATTTAAAGTTTAAAAGGCTACTTAGGGGGTAATGAGGACACAAGGGATGACACAAATTGAGGACACAAAGGCTGGAGGTAGGGTGACCAGTCAGGAGGCGACCAGCCAGGAGGACACTGCAGAAGTACCAGTGTAAGGTGAGGGTGACTCAGAAGACAATTGCTTGTAACTAGCCCTCATCCTCATTACTATGTACCAACAGTATAAGGCAGCTTTGTTGAGTCTGATTTTTTTTCTTTAAAGAGAAATATCTTTTCCATAATATCTAATTTCTTTTTTACCTAATTATTATATATTTGAAGGGGCTTTAGTTGTGGAATCCAGTGGGATTTGGGCTAGTGCTGCTTACCCAAAGCTGGTAATCTTTGGTGGTTCGAATTCATCAGTGGTTTCTCGGGAGAATGAAGCACAATCTCCTGTTTGCAATCTACAGCATCCAGAAAACTCAACAGAGGATCAACTATGAATCGGTGACTAAGCATATATTTGGATAGGTGTTAGAAAATGTAAATAAATCCATAAGAACCAAAATATGACCTTGAGTCTATCCCACCTGAATTTAAAAACTATCTCAAGAAGAGATTTGAAGCCTTGAACACTCGTGAATGAAGACCAGATGAGCTCCAGAATTATGTAAAGAATATCATCCAGAAAGAATGCAAAAGGCCATTACAAAAACAGAGGAGGAAGAAAAGACTGAGGTAGATGTCAGAAGAGATTCCAACTATTGCCCTTGAACACAAAGAAGCCAAAGCAAGGGAGGAAATCAAGAAGTTAAGGAACTGAACAGAAAATTCCAAAGGCCAACTCACGAAGACAAAAATATTATAACAAAATGTTCAAAGGTCTGGAGTCAGAAAATCAAAAGGGTTGAATGTGCTCAGCATATCTTAAACTGAAGAACAAATTCAAGCTTCAAGTTAAAATATTTAAGGATGCTGTGGGCAGAGTATTGAATGATACAAGAAGCATCAAAAGAAGATAGCAGGAGTACAAGGTACAAGGAGTCAATGTACTAAAAAGAATTGGCTGGCACAGAAGAATTTAATGAAGTAGCATACGATCAAGAAGCAATGGCAGTGAAGGAGGAAGTTCAAGCTGCTCTGAAAGAATTGGCAAGAAATAAGGCCCCATGAATTTATGGAATACCAATTGACATATTTCAACAAACAGATGGAGCCCTGGAGTGTTCATGAGCTTTTACCAAGAAATCTGGAGGACAGCTACTTGGCCAACTAACTAGAAGAGATTCCTATGTATTTCTATTCCCAAAGTAGGTGACCCAACCAAGTGTGGAAATTATTGAACGATATCACATGCAAGTAAAATCTTGCTAAAGATTATCCAAAAGCAATTGAAATAGTGCATAAACAGAGAACTTCCAGAAATACAGGCTAGATTTAAAAGAGGCTGTGGCTATCACCACTTCTATACAGTATTGTACTGAAAGTGCACGCTAGGTCAATACAATAAAAGAAGAAAATGAAAGGCATCCAGAGTGGCAAAGAGATGGTTAAACTGTCACTATATTCAGATTGTGATAGTGTGCACAGAAAAGCCCAAGGACTAAGCAAACAAACAAAAACGTTCCAGTTAGTAGATCAATTTAGTATAGAGATAGGATGTAAGATCAATATCCAAAAATCAGTGAGATTCCTCTACAGTAACAAAGAGAACTCAGAAAAGGAATCCAAGAAAGTAATATTATTTGCAATAGTCAACCACAAACTGAGATACTTGAGAGTGAGCTGAACTAGAGATACAAAAGACCTATACAAAGAAAACTACAGAACATTTCTGCAAGGCACAATAAAAGACCTAAATAATGGGAAAATGTGCCCTCTTCATAGATAGGAAGACTCAATATTGTGAAAATGACAATTCTATCAAAAGCGATCTACATATTCAACACAATCCCAATACAGATACCAAATTAATTTTTCAAGATCAAAAGGGAAATTGTCAAGTTTATTTGTAGAGGAAAGAGACCCCAAATAAGCAAAGAACTTTTGAAAAATAAAAATGAAATGGAAGCTGTAGCACTCATTGATTTCAAAAGCTACTCCACAGTGCTAGTAACCAAATAGCCTGGTACTGGTACAATGACAGGCACATAGAGCAATGGAAAAGAACTGATAACTCAAAAATGGACTCAGCTATCTATGGTCAACTGATATTTAACAGGGAAACAAAATCTACCAAATGGGGAAATAACAGCCTCTTCAACAAATGATGCTGACAAAACTGAACTGCTAGCTGCAGAAAGCTGAAATAAGATCCAAATCTCACACCACACACACAAAAAAATCAACTCAACGTGGATCAGAGACCTGGGACTAAGGCTTAAAACCATAATTTTAATCAGAGACAAACTGGGATCAAGCTTAGAAGCCTAGTTCACAGGAAAAAGAGACTGCCAAATACAGCCAGAATTAATCTGGAGAGGATGAACTTGATGAGTAGGACCTTCTAAAGATTAAATCCTTGTTTATATAAAAAATTTTCCAACAGGGTGAAAAGAAAACCTACTGACCGGGGAAAAAAACAATTTCATACAAGTATCTCATATTAAAAGTATACATAATCCTACGGGGACTCCACAAGAAAAAGTCTGATCACACAATTACAAAATGGGCAAAAGACATGGAAAGAATTTTCACAGAAGAAGATATTCATATGGCCAACAGACATATGAAGAAATGCTCCGAATCACTGGCAATAAGAAAGATGCAAATCAAAACCACAATGAGATACATCTCACTCAGTAGCAATGACAAAGCTTAATGGGACAGCAAGTTATGAATGTTGAAGAAGATTTGGAGAGATAGGAACTCTTATACATTGCAGATGGGATTGTAAAATGGTACAACCACTCTGGAAGGCAATATGGCATTTCCTCAAAGAGCTGTACATAAAAATTCACTATGACCCAGCTATCCTATGCTTGGAATATACTCTGAGAAAATGAGACCTGAGGTAAAGGGACTTGTACATCAATGTTCATAGCAGCATTATTCACCATAGCAAGAACATGGAAATCACCCAAATGTCTAACCACAATGGAATGGATTGAGAAATTATGGTACATTCACATGAAGGAATACTATGCAGCACACAGGAACAATGATATTGTAAATTACCACCTAACTTGAGAGGGACTTGTTATGCTAAGTGAACTTAGTCCCTTAAGGACAAATATTGTATTTAGCCATTATTGTAGAACAAGTAGGAGGACACAAGTGGGGGTGTGGGAAGGGTGGGAGCAGAGCAGTGAGCATGGGTGGGGGGTGGCGGTGGTTAATCATAGGGTTGCACAATCTGATGGGTGGAGGCAGAGTTGGGTGAAGCAAATGGGAAAGATTGGAGTGAAAAACAATGTATACAAACTTTGTAAATAAATATTAACAAAAAAAAAAGAGGCTGTGGCACTAAGGACATCACTACCAATGCAGATGGATTTTGGTTAAAAACAAAGAATACTAGAAGAATGTCTATTTGTGTTTTATTGAAAATGCAAAGGCATTTGACTGTGTGGATAATAACAAACTGTCACTAACATGGACAAGAATAGGAATCCCAGAACACCTGAATGTGTTTTATTGAAAATGCAAAGGCATTTGACTGTGTGGATAATAACAAACTGTCACTAATATGGACAAGAATAGGAATCCCAGAACACCTGATTGTGTTCATGCATATCCCATCAATTCCTGGAGCCTTATTTTTTTGCCAACACCTTCAATGCAGGTTGAAGTTCTTCCTCCATCTCCACTGGCTCTTTTATCATATGCTACTTTCTGAAATATTTTAGAGTCGAACAATTCTTCTTGTACCTTGACTCCATTTTTCCTCTGCCGTCTCTTGCTGCTTCCTAGATCAATTCAGTAGTTTTCCCATACTGTCTCTCAGTTTTGCATATTAGTATACGTTAAAATTAAATTCTTAGTCTTGGATAAACAAACTGAGACTTAAATAGGCAAAAATCTCATCTATAAAATGAGCATCTTGCAATGTATAATATCTAAGATCCTATTTAACTTAAACAATGCTGTGGTTCCAAGAGCTGTACAAATAAATCTTATTCCTCACGCTGTAGGAAAGTATGCATGTGAAGTCAATTTTTTAAATAGTAAATAAAACCTGAGTTTAAGAAGTATTTCAGTAGCAACAACTTGCCTTGTATGTGAAGTTGTAGATATCTAAGTAGTGCAGAAGGGTGAGTCCAATAAGGTAAGACTGGCGAGATCTCTCTGGAAAAGGCAGGCTGCAGAATTCCTTCATTGCATCTTCCAATTTGGGATTGGAGATATTAGCATCACAAGAATGCAACCAGAATACCCGTGAAATAATCTGTAGGTTGGAGGAAGGAAACTAGGTTAGCTGTTTGTCACTTTTTAGGAGACTTTTTAAAATTCCTAGACTTTTTTTTTAAAAAAAAAGTATGACAACTTATTTTTCAAGAAGCAAATATATTTTATTTAAAGCTCTACTTGCCATTGGTGAAATGATATAGAACCCGTATTCAGAAGAAAGATTAAGGAATACGATGAGAAAATGAGAGTGAGAAATCAAGGATGACTCTCAAATTTCTTGCTTGAACATCTATGTGACTGGTGGTAGCAATAAAGTTAATTGGTTTGGAGTGAGTTTGCACAGAGATATTTAAGATTCATGCTACTTTAAAAAATTTACTTAATTCAAATTGTGCTTCATTTTAAAAATTATTTCCGATTATAATACTGTACAACTGTGGATCCAATGATAAAAAGGCAAAGAAAGGAAGTCCTGAAAATTATCACACAATAGTATGAAGCAATTATGTCAGATAGGAATGTTTATGTAGAAAGTAAGGGGTCAGTATGGAAAGTAAGATATCATCTCTGTTACCACCACATTGAAGCAAGGAGGAAAAGTTCATGATATGAAAGATCCTAGAAACTTCTCTCTTTTGTTATGAAAATATCATGGATATCATACTCTCTTGCTTTTACTTACCAACATAAATCTGACAGAAGTAAAAATGTGATTGGAAAATTTGATGTTAGGACTTAGAGGAGCTAAAAAGTAGAAATCAAAGGGAAAATGTGAATGAATGTTTGCTTAACAAGAGGCGGAAAGGTGAATACAAAATGATTTTGTGAATGTCCTTGTTATACAGGGGAACCAATTAAAATGACGCCAGTAAACCTGTACTTTTTCTAAAGGCATCTTAAAGACCTTTGAAAAACTTTATCGCACACTTGAAAATAACCAGAGTGCTTTTAGAAATGACACACTCTGTCATATGAAGGTTTTGAACGGATAAGGCCATAAGCTGTGCAGGTCTTTGGGAGAATTTCTGACACTTCCAGACAATGGACTTGGAATAAGGAGAAAAGATAAGACATTTGAAGTAGAAAACCTTATTATCAGCCTATAAAGAAACGACATTACTCATTTTCACAGAAAAAAAAAGTTTTCCACAACCACAAACTTACCCATATTTGCTTTGACTGTATCTATTTTATATGCTAAGCTTTGTTGAAAAAAGACTTTTAAAGGGCAAAATAATGAATATTCACCTGAATTCACAAGTAGTTGTTCTCCATGTTTCCCCCCAATTAGTTTACTGTAACACAATTTGGGGGTGATTCTAATAATCCGCACAGTTTTCTTCAAACTGACTGTTGTTGGGTATTGTCTAGACAGAGTCAACCCACAACTGAGCCCCCAGTGGGTTATCAGAGGCAGTAAATCGCAGGGGAGTGATTGCCCATCTTTCTCCCATGGAGCAGCTGGTGGATATGAAATGCATACCTTAGCATTGGCAGTGCAATTAGTCACCACTAAACTGAGCTCCCTAACTGTGGAGGCTAATATAATTATTGATGGCCTTCCTTAGTTTTACTTCCTTACTTATTGATGGTTACTTAAGACAACCATCTGGAAGAGAGAGAAAAAGAGGGCTGTTGTTCTCATGTTCTGAGGAGCCACTGCTGACAACGATTGGTTCAGATCTTCTGTATTACACACTGAGCCCTTGCCTGGTCCTGCACCCCCCTCAAAAGTCCTGCTGTGTGCAAGTCCACTCTGCTGCAGTTACTGCCAATATCTCCCTTTGAGGATCTCTCTCTGGATTACTGGTGCCCCATCCTTCCCAGAATGATGCGCTTTTCCAAGGACTGGTTCCTAACGACATACCCCAAGGTGTGTGCGAGATGAGGAAAAAAACAGAGCGAAAGGAAGACGCCATGGCGACATGCTGGCTTCAGAACTGCACTTACATCTTAAGTATAACAATGAAAGAACTTTTTTTTTTTAAAAAAAGGGGGGGAAGTGGGGGTGGAGGGGTAGGGAGGAAAGTGCAACAATGAATGAATGGAAATCCAAGTTCTTTATAGACTGTCATTAAAATATCAATTTAAAAAAATGAGTGAAGCCACATAATTTACATAGAAAAGTCACTAAATTAGCATTGAATGTGTCAGCAGCATATTGATCAGTGCTTAACAACTAAGAAGTGTTTTCAGACTTTTAAAAAGTGGACGTTAGTACAGACACATTATACTCCACCTCAGCTCTGTTCTCTGGGATGGGGATGGCCAACATCTTGTTGACACTTGTGTTGGACCAGCCTGTTGTTCTCCTTAGTTCTTCTTTCAGCTCCTCCACATTATTAAACATTTCTATTAATTGACCTGCAAGGGGAGAAAAATCATATATGTTTACAATCTCATCATTTTTAGTTGTCTAATATAGGGAAATCTAGATTAAAACATATATTCCACACATATGTCAGATGGGAACAGATGTCTTTAAGTTTGGGCAATCTTTGCAGCTTTAGGATCTATTTCTATCTGATTTAAATATGTTCCTATTATGACATCATTAATCCAAGGTAACAGTGTTCTGGGTTATAAATTTTCCATAGATGTCTACAACTCAAGGTTGATTCAAGGAAAATAAGGTTTCGTCACAGATTTTGATCACATAATATATTAAATAAATATCTCTCCACCTGATTTAAAACCATACAAATCCAAAAAACTTTTTTGGGTCATATAACATAGTCAATTTAGGTAAAAGCTTGCCAAATTCATGAAACAATGGCATTTCTCTTTAACTTCGCATATCACGTGAAAGTTTATGAAGTGCTTTCACAATTATTATCCTTTTTTTTTTTTTAAACAGAGTATGTTTAACTCCAAACTCTTTCAGGACAATGGTTGTAATTATTTAATTTGTAGTTATTTGGTGCATAATAAACATCCTGAAAATACCCTTTGGCTTATTTTATAAAATATTCTTTATTTAAGTGTACCTTCTATTATTTTTGAACTGAGTACTCTTCCAATTTTGCACTGCCTGTTGACCAAAAGCTTGACTGCCTTTCTTTCCGTATTGAGGTATTATGGAAAGGAGAGACACACCAGACATATTTTGTGATGAATTATGCTCAGAATACTAAAGAAGGCTCTGAATTGAGCTATCTGTGGACAGAGATCATCTTAGTTCCTTTTTAAAAATGAGATTATTCTCATGAAAACAAATACATTTTCATCCTAGTCCTTGCAACTGATCATCTAATGTACTTTAAAATAGAAGAGAAAAAAAAGGTGAACTGATTATCTATGCAAATACTTGAAGATATTTTTGCTGTGGATTTGTATTTTTCTGCTAGCTTTCTAGCATGTTTACTTAGAAAAGTAACAACATTTGAAAGCTTTCCACTTTTGTGGTAAAATAGTTAAAAACACATAGCTACTCAATGAAAGTTTGGCAGTTCGAACCCACCAGCTATTCCTTAGTAGAAAGTTACAACAATCGGCTTCTGTATAGATTTGTTGTTAGGTGTAATAAGCTGGTTCTGTTTTGTAGTGACTCTATACAATAAGAAAGAAAATCAAATGACATACTGCACTGGCAAATCTGCTGTCAAGGAGCTCTCTAAATGCTGAAGAACAAGGCTTAAAGACTAAGATGGGCTTGATTCAAGCCATGGCCACTTCAATTGCTTCCTCTGCATTTAAAAGTTGGACTATAAATAAGAAAGACTGAATAAGAATTGTTGCCTTTGAATTATGTTGGAGAAGAGTATTGAACACTCCATGGGCTACCAAAAGAATAAACCCACATGTGATGGAAGAAGTAAAAGCTAATGGTGAAGGCTAGGGCAAGGTTGTTCAGTGGTGAGTTGAAGCTGGCTTGATAGGCACTAACGACAATACGTACAACAGAATGCAGTTCTGTCCAATCCAGCACCAGACTCACAGCCTATGCTATGCTTAAACCCAACGCTGCAGTCACTATGCCAATCCACCTCATCGAGGTCTTCCTCCCATTTGCTGACCATCCAGTTTCCAAGCATTATTTCATTTCCCAAGGACTGATCCCTCCTAATATTATGCCCCAAGTAAGTGGACAAACTCTCACCATCCTTGCTTCTAATTAGGTATCTCAGAAACCCTATGGGGCAGTCCTAGTGTGTTCTGCAGGGTGACAAAGAGTCAGAATTGACTTGATGGCAACCAGTGAAAGGTAGATGACCAAGCAAGTCTGGGAACTTTAAAAACCCCTTCTTAAATTTCAGTATGAGCCTCACATGTATTCTATCTAATAAGATGCCATTTAAAATATGGATGGGGAAGTACCTGGTTTTTCAGAAGTGTCTGCACTGCTGTTGACATGCAGCATGGCTTCTATGGTCGGCATTAACCGTGTGATATTTTCCAAGTAATTCATTTGCAATGCCTGCTCCAGAAACCTGAAATAAAACAAATGAGGAGAAGAAATTCAACTACACATGTCTGTGTTTAGAGAAAGGATTTTGTTAAGGTAGAAGACAATGGAAAAACTTACCCATCTATATTTAAGTCAATTTTGCTTGGATCTCCCATAAGCAAATCTCTCAGCTTTTCAGATATGACATTTTCATGATACAATAACCCGGATGCTATTTCAGCACCAAGCTCTGCTGCTTCGAGGAATTGTACATGAAGGGCACTCTCTTCACACAAGTCCCCAAAGCTCAAATTAGAAAGCTGGCATATTTTTTCTATTGAACTCACAGTTTCAGGTTCACAAAGAAGTTCAGTCAACTTCCGAAGTTGAGACAGCTTTCAAGGAGGAAAGAGTGAGAAACAGATTAGTTCCAATATTCTAAATACTTCATAGCTGATAATGAGCAAGAAAATGTAATACGTAAAAATGTATGCAAGTTGGAGCAACAATGAAAAAATATTTTTAAAGAGAAAAGCAAATGGGGGTGGTATTATTGTTCTTATGAGCCACCGAGTGGCTTGTGACTCATAATGACCCTATGTACAAGAGCCCTAAACCCTGCTCTATCCTGCACCAATCTCACTGCCTCCGACACACCGATCCCAATTACCCCAGTCACTGAATCAATCCACCTCATAGAGGGTTTTCCCCTTTTGTGTCGTTCCTCCACCCTCCCAAGCATGATGTCCCTCTCCAAGAACCTGTCCCTCCTTACAACATGTCCAAAGCATGTCAAATGAAGCTTCAGAAGAATCCTTGCCTCCAAGGAGCAGCCCGGTTTAACCCTCTCCAGGATGAATCTGTTTGTTCTTTTGGCAGTCCAGGGTACATTCAATACTCTTCTCCAGCACCACAGCTCAAAGGCATCAATTCTCTTTCTGTCCTCTCTAGTCCTTGTCCAACTCTCTGATGCATAGCAAGTGATTGCAAAGACCATAGCCTGTGGCAGATGCACCTTAGTCTCCAGAGTGACACCATTGCTCTTCAGTACTCTGGAGAGGTCCCTAACAGCAGACTTTCCCATTGCAATAAGTTTTTTTTTTTTATTTCCTGGCTACTGGTGCCAAAGAGTGTTGACCGTGGAGCCAAGCAGACTAAAGTTGTTAACAATCTCAATCTCTTCACCATCCATCCTGATGCTTCCAATTAGTCCAGTGGTGAGAATCTTTGTCTTCTTGACATTGAGCTTCAATCCATACTAAAGGCTGCGGTCCTTGACCCTCTGCAGCAAGCATTTCAGGTCCTCCTCGGTTTTAGCAAGCAGAGTTGTGTCATCTGCATAACACAGATTGTTAATAGATCTTCCACCAATCCTGATGCCACACTTCTCCTCATAGAGCCCAGCCTCTCAGATAATCTGTTCTGCATACAGGTTGAAAAGGTTATGGAGATAGGACACATCCGTGGCATACGCCTTTCCCAATTTTGAACCATGCAGTGTTCCCTTGCTCTGTTCTGACGACTGCCTCCTGGTCCAAGTATAAGTTTCGCATTAGAACAATCAAGTGGTCTGGGATTCTCATTCGTCTCAGAGTCAGCCACAGTTTGTTATGATCCACACAGTCAAACACCTTTGCATAATCAATGAAACACAGATAGACATTCTTCTGGTATTCCCCGCTTTCAGCTAAGATCCATCTAACATCAGCTACAATATCCCTAGTGTCAGGACCCCTTCTAAACCCAGACTGGACTTCTGGCAGTTCTCTGCTGATGTGCTGTTCCAGTCATTTTGGGATAATTTTCAGTAGAATCTTGCTTGCGTGTGAAATCAATGATATTGTTCTATAGTTTCCACACTCTGTTGAGTCACCTTTCTTTGGAATGGAAACAAGTATAGATCTCTTCCAGTCAGTTGGCCAAGTGGTTGTTCTCCAGATTTCTTGGCACAACTTGGTGAGCACATCCAGGGCAGCATCTGTTAGCTGAAATATGTCAATTGGTATACCATCTATTCCGGGGGCCTTATTTTTTGCTCTTTCATTCAAAGCAGCTAGAACTTCATCACTATAGGCTCTTGCTCATATGTGATTTCATTAAATTCTTCTGTGTCTGCCAGTTCCTTTTGATACAGTGACTCAGTATATTCTTTCCATCTTCTTTTAATACTTCCTGGATCATTTAATATTCTACCTAAAGCATCCTTGATTATAGCAACTCGAGGTTTAAATTTGTTCTACAGTTCCTTGAGCTTAAGAAATGCTGAGTGAATTCAGCCCTTTTGATTTTCCAACTGGAAAATGTGTAACAATGAATGAATGGAAATCCAAGTTTTCTGATAACTTTCATTAAAATACCAATTAAAAAAAGAACTAAAAAAAGTATTTAAGTTTGATTAGTTGATATTTGTTTTACTATAGCCCTATTTTTTATCATTTATGTTTATTTTCCTCCTAAAAATTGTATTTAAAACCTCTTGACCTGTTACACCCATCTTTCCCAACTGTAGGTTGGAAAACCTGTGAATTTACAGATTTTGTTTAACTTATTGAGTTTTATCTGGTTAAATATCACAAATATTTCAATTAACTTGATATTTTGATTTTTATATTAATTCATGGATGTAGGCAAATAGCAAAAAATAGGCAGGGTTTTTTTTTAAAGGTATTTCTTCAACTGCAGTATGAGAAACCCCATGCATTCTAAAATAGTAGCTCATAAAATACAGTTGGGAAGACTGTTACTGACATTACCTATGGAGGGAGCGGAGGCACTTTGTTCTATGGCAGTGCTTAGAAAGGCTAACATCCCAGACCCAGGAGGAATAGAAGAAAAATGCAAATCAGCCAATTCCTTATCCTGCCAACTCTATTCCTCTCCTCTCCGCATTCACTTGCTCTCTGCATTCTGAGGATCTACCCTCAAGTCATACTAATGGGGGTGGTGGTGGAAATCATGCCTCTGGGAAAGCCATTTCTGTCGTGTTTGGAAGTTACCTCGAAGCTATTCACTCCTTTTAAGAAGTCAAATGATTTGGAGCAATGTCTAGAGGAACAAATATGCATGCCATTCAACGTAGCTCAGTTTCCTGTCAGAGGTTATGGAAGTACAATACTTTATGGTGGGCGAAGGTTTAGGAATATTTCTCCACCTCTAACAAGCAAGAAAAGAGCAATGATGTGTCCTTAATGAGAGGTTTGCAGGAACTACATGTAGGTAGTGACAATTATACACTGATCATTTTAGATAGCAAATATACTTAGCTATTTTCCACTACATTTGATATTAACATAGGCTTCTGCTTTAGACTATCTGTAAGTGATATTAAAGGAGCTGTGCTAGTGTAGTCTGTTGTTGAACCAAAGGCTGTGCATCTCCAGGAGTTCAAATCCACCAGCATTTCTGGCAGGAGAAAGATAGGCACTCATCTCACATTAACACCTACAGCAACAGACAACTGAAGGAGGTTTGAAATGAACCAGAATCCTCTCGATGGTAGTGAGTTTGTTTTATTTTCTGTTTGATTTATTATTTTTTATTTTTTTTTAATTTTATTATTTTTTGTGTGTGTATGTGTACCGTCAAATCAGATCTGACTGGTACAAGATGAGACTGTCCTTCCTTCCCCTGGAGAGCATCTGGTGGATTCGAACCGTGCGCCTCTTGGATTGCAGTGCAGCTTCTTGCCACTAGGCCACCAGAGCTCCCTGCTTTATTTTTTAGGTCTCACCTATATTGGGATTATACTTACTATTCTCATTGCTATAAAACCTTTTCCAACCTTAAACTCAATTTCTTTACCATCTGAAGCTGTATTTATACTTCTTTTTATTTCTTTGACTTACTAAAGATTGTTGTTGTTATTATGTGCCATCGAGTCACTTGTGACTCATAACAACCCTACGTACAACAGCCCTAAACTCTGCTCCGTCCTGTGCCAATTGCACTGCTTCTGACACATCCATCCCGATTACCCCAGTCACTGAATCAATCTACCTCATAGAGAATCTTCCCCTCCTACGCTGTCTTTCCACCCTCCCAAGCATGATGTCCCTCTCCAAGGACCTGTCCCTCCTTACAACATGTCCAAAGCATGTCAGACGAAGCCCCAGAATCCTTGCCTCCAAGGAGCATCCTGGTTTAACCCTCTCAAGGAGAAATCTGTTTTCTTGGCAGTCCATGGTATATTCAATACTCTTCTCTAGCACCACAGCTCAAAGGCATCAATTATCTTTCTATCCTCCCTAGTCACTGTCTAACTCTTTGATACATAACAAGTGATTGCAAAGACCTAAGCCTGTATCAGATGCACCTTAGTGTTCAGAATGACATCATTGCTCTTCAGTACCCTGGAGAGGTCCCTAACAGCAGACTTTCCCATCACAATACTAAAGATTTTTTTTTTAAAAAAAAAAAAGGAAACACCTTCTCAAACCCATTGCCACCAAGTCAGAACTGATTCGTAGTTGACCCTCCAGAGGGTTTTCAGAGACGGTAAATTGACTGGGACAAGACTGCCTATCCCTGTCACACAAAATGGCTTATTGGGGTTGCAGGACAGCTTCCTAACACTATACTATCATAGCTTCCTTGCAAATCCTACTTCTGTTCATTCAGTTCTGACTCAAGCCACCAGCAGGTTTTCAAGGCTGTAAATATGAGAGGAGATTGCTCATCTTTTCCCCAGGAATAACTGGTGAATTTGAACTGCCAAACTTTCTGTTGGCAATCCAATTACATTATATAATACATCACCAGGGCTCCAAACATCAGTTATAATTAAGTCTCTGGGCAGTGCAAATGGCTAAGCTCTTGTCTACCAACCAAAATGTTTACAATTTGTATTCTTGGTGATCTATTTCTGCAAAGTCAACCACTGACAATTCTATCAAGAACAGTGCTAACCTGAAGCACAAGAGTCTGCTGATAAGTTAGAATTAACTCTATGTCAATAGTCTTTAGAAATTATTATACTTCTAATAAGTCGCCTCTCCATGCCACATCTTCCAATAACTTAATTTTTGCGTTTGCTTTCTCAAATAAAGGCTTATGTTGTTGTTGTGTGCTATCAAGTTGAAATCGACTCATAGCTGACCCTCCATCAGGTTTTCAGAAGCAGCAAATCACAGGAGAGGTAACTGCCCATTCTTCTCCTGTGGAGCAGCTGACGGATTCGAAGCCCATGCCTTTGGGATTGCAGCGCAGCTTCTTATCACTAGACCATCAGAGCTCTCATAGAGAAACCTAAATCAAACACACTCCTGTAGAATTGATTCTGACTTATATCAACCTTACAGGACAGAGTAAAACTGTGTCATAGAGTTTTAAATGCTGAAAATCTTTACAGGAGTAGATTGTCACGTTCCCTTACCCCCATGGAGCCACTATTTGAACAACTGATCTGATTATTAGCAAGTACATTAATCACCATCTCATCAGTGTTCCTGAAGGGACAAATATTGATGATATAATATATTTTTAAAAGAGATTTAAAGAGTATAGCATATTTAACCTTGAACAGATAAAATAAAAAAATATAGACATTCAAATCCTTGTTCCTTGCTTCAGTAGATTTAGTTCTTAGCTAAAGAAGAAGTTCATTTAGGGTAAATAATGTGAAATGAACACATCTGGAAGAGTAAGGTTATGGTCATTTGGCATTTGTTATCATATTATTATAAAGGCAGTACACAAATGAAATTTTTAAAACCTAGTGGATTACCAATAATCAGCAAAAAGCAGAGAGTTTTAATTTTCTTTTCAAAAACAATTTTCAGCTCTAGTTTGTAAATTTGTCAGAGCCACATGTGAAAAGCCCTTTCCCCCTTTATTACAACCCTGGACTTGATCATAAGTAAGAGTTCAGGTCTCAAATTGAATAGTGACCCACAACAAATTTTATTTCTATCTCTGACTGAACTCCCCATTGCCCAGTGGTTCCCAAGAGTATTGGAAAATTCATTTGAAAGGCACTTTTATGCCGATTTACTGCTATGGTTTCTCCTAAAGTTAGAGAATTGATGGTGAAGATTGCATGGCACCATGGGCACAAAATGGTAAAATAGTAACACCCCTGAGTGCTTGCTAGACTAAGAGTGGAGGTGAGGAACCCAATTATCATTTTAACACTGCTATAAAAGAGGTTATAGTGAAAATAAAGGAGCTCTGTTATCCTAAGCAGCTGTGCTGCCAGCCCAAAGGCAGACAGTTCAAATCCACCCCCTGCTCCAGGCGAGAAATATGGGTAATCTCCTCCCGTGCAGTTAAAATCATGTGGAGAATCACCTGAGTCAGCTCTGACTTGGTGGTTGGTATGCATTAAAAACAACAGTGGAAAAATACGGCAAAAACAAAACACCTCAAACTATCCTTTCTTCCCAATGTGGTGAAAGTCTGTGGCTTCCCAGTTAGGAAATTCCTGTCCTCATCACAGAGATTGGAAAGAAAACGCTGGCACAGACAGAAGACTCTCTATTGTCAGAGATGCTCTCCCTCATGTCCTGTCTTACTGGGTGGGGTGGTGTCAGCTGGACTCGGGAAGCTGTATTTCCCTTCTAATCCCTGTCACGGATACAATTCCAGCTCTTATCACATATCGCTTACTTTACTGTAAAAATAGCCTACTAGGCTTCCCTTCAATCTATCTTCAATAATTCTCCTAAAGAGACCTCTTCTAAAATGCAAATTTCACCTTCTTCAACTTGACAGCTTTGAGAATCAAGTTCAAATTCTTCAACTAAGCAAAAGAGGTCTCTGCCACCCCCTTTCCTACTAATTTCTACCACTCTATACCTGCCTTTCTGTGCCCTGGCTCTGTCTTCTTAAAAATCTTACTTCTTATGCCTGAAATTCACATCACCAACTCAATCTCCAAACTCAGGTTTGCACAGCCTCCAAATTCAGATCAAGCATTATCTCCTCCTACAAGTTTCTTCTCACTCCCTGTGCAATCTGAATGAGAGGTACCATCTCCGTACACAGAAACCTGTCCCTCCACATACCACAGCATTATCGCACTTGGTTGATGTGCTTTTCCATCTCCTCTGTTGGACTGGTTATAAGCACTTCGGGGTTAGTGTTGTGGGAGCACAGATGAGGGATAAGGATGAATGAATGAATGAATGAATGAATGAATGAATATAATAGAGGCAGAGATCACACAGTCATTAGCTGGGCTGGAAAACAGGAAGAAAGGCGATGACCTAATACTATAGAAGGAATGGCATTTAACTTGCCCTTGAAGAAGGAGTAGAAATTTTCCAGATGAATGCATAACTTCCTTCTCATTTGCACAAATTAAGGTAGTGCTAAATTAAGTACCTTGCAAATTTTGATTCATGTAGAAGACAGTGGCTATAATATGGGTACTCTAACTAGCATATTTATTTGTAATATACATGGACATAATGTTTGGCATGCCTGCTTAATTATACCATGTTGAATATACAGCAAGTCATCTTGCTTGCCCTGAATAAACCAGTTCTAATTTAACTTTGTCCCTGGCTACATAAATTCAATTAAACTGCTGTTCTTAATAGGAAAGTTGTTTTCATAATTTAACAGGGTTATTTAAGAGATAAAATGAATTTCCTAATAACCTGGGTACTATATGCACGACCTAAAAAAAAAAGGAATAATAAATAAATGAACATGAAACGATTCAGGCGAATTTCAGGGCTTTTCATTATTGTAGACTTCTGTTATGAATTAAAGTTGTAATGTGCCATTGAGTCACTTGCAACTCATAACAATCCTATGCACAATAGCTCTGAACCCTGCCCCATCTGGAGCCATTCTCTTTGTCTCCAATTACTCCTATTACCCCCTTTACAGTGTCAAATCCCTCTCACCCCGGTCTTCCACTCCTGCGCTGTCCCTCCACCCTTCCCAGCATGATGTCCTTCTCCAAGGACTGGTCTCTACTAGAAACATGTCCAAAATATGTGAGACAGAGCTTCAAAATCCTAGCCTCCAAGGAGAAACTTGGTACCCTAAAAATGTGTTGTAACTCTCTATGCTTGAGGTTGTAATCCCATTTAGGAATGAATTGTCTTTATTAATGAAGCAGGATTAATATAGAGGGTATTTTGTGTTCATTTCTTTCGAGACATGAAAGAGCTTAAGCAATTTAGCAAAGGATTGAATGGGTAAAACAGATGCCAAACTACATGGAGCTATCTAAGGACCCAGAAAGCAGAAACTAGAGAGACAAGTTCCAGAAAGCCATCCCCTGGAACTGGCAGCCTCAACTCAGACTTTTAGCTTCAAAAATGTGAGGAAAACACATTTCTATTTGTTAAAATTACCCCCTTGTGTTATTATAGCAATAGTAAGTAAATAACACAATTGCATCCATTTCCCCCCAAATATCATATATTCTATAATGGTAGATTAGTCTCTGCCTCTGATGATAATAGGAAAATTAGCATGAATCAACTTCTGAGATTTTTTAGGGGGGGTACTCTGTGAAAGCATTAGCTTTCAAAATCATACTAAGAATTAAGAATTAATAAATTAATTATTAATTAATAAATTAAGACTTAATAAAGAACTAAGGAATTGATAGATAACTAAGGAATTCCCAATTTGGAAGTCAGATAACAAACGGCGTTTCAAAGGATCAAGCCTGGACACATAACTAGATGATCAGATTTGTTTTTCATGTATGTGCATACCACAACCTGGCTTTTCTGGGGTTCATATGTAGAGATTTCCATAGAATGAAACAAAATACCATGGTAGAGCATCAGAATTCTTTACTCACCCTTTCCCCAACATGAATCCAGAGTCAATTAGGACCAATATTAGCAAAGGTACAATTGTAAACTTAAGCTAAAATCACATTGTGCGGGACACTATAGAAAGTATTGAGGTTTTGTTCTCCCACCCCTCTGCTCCCAGTTCAGGCTTACTTTGGATTTCATGACTTCAGGCACTGGAGGAAAGGAATCCTCATAGGAACCATTCTGAAGAAAAGATTTCTTAAACCGAATTGTAGACTGAAGGAGTCTGAGGTTTTCTGGAAAGGAGAAGGGGAAATATAACATAGATGTAGGCCACAAGGTTATTTAGGAAGCCCATTTGAAAGATACCTCTTTCATGGTTTATTACCAAGTTTTTTCTAAGATATTAGTCTAACTCAATCTAAATATAAGGTGAGTGAAATTTTAACCTTTCTTTGAACCCTTGAGGATGAAGAGTTCATTATTTTTAAAATCTTCATTAACACTCTGCTTAGAGACAAAATATTTCTAGCAAAAGTTCTATATAATCTGGACTCTTTGTGAGTCAAATATGCTTTCCTTTCTGACTTTTTGGAGATACTATTAAGCTGAAGTGTTTGGAGGGAAATAGGTTGTGTAATCACATTCACAAAAGTATGTCCTTCTAACATTGATGAATTCATATAAAGTAAACAGAGATCAGGCTTAAATATTTGTTATGCTATTTGCTTGTCACTAAGTCTTGAAAAACTACTTTGTTGTAAAGAGAGAGAGATAAGAAATGCATATCTTCCAGGGAAGAAAAGAATAAAAGACAAAATCAGAAACATTTGAGTAAATTCATAGTTGCGTTTGCTTATGTAAGATTAAATTGGAAACAATAGGTGTGAAGACAGGAAGTGAAAACAGTCCATCATCTAAACTCCTTTGTTTAATTCCATTCACACCTGTCTTTGGAACTCTGTATTGCCATTCTTCATTATTTTCTGACAATGAAGAGGATTAGAGGCTTGAGAAAGTACCATGAGTGCTTTTGATGTGTCCCCAATGACTCTGGACATTTGGAAAGTTTGTCCAGAGGGCAGCTATAATTCTAGCAGCTGCTGCAGAAGTAATAACATTATGATTAAATATTCCTTTCCTATCCAATCACAAATCTGAAATTGGCATATGGAAATGAAGAATTTCTTCCCATTTTCTTTGTTTTTTAAAGGAAACTTAAAAGAATTTATTAATGTAAAAGATAGTGATATGAATAATGTTTTGACTGTTAAAAAGAGTATTACCTGGTGATCCTTTGGCCAAATTATCAGTGATATTCCTCACACATACCAGGTAAGGAATATATGGACTCTCTGCTGACACATTTAGGAGAGCATCTTCGAAGTTTTCCAGTATTAGGAGCCTGTAGAAAAATTACAAGACAAAAATCAACAGTAAGACGTATCACACCTGGCAGTCAGAACATAGGGCAGTTGGCAGATCCTTGTTTAAACACACAGCCCCAGTATATTTTTTTAGAAAGAGTAGAATAGCCCCATTCCTAAAAGTTTCTTTTACTTAGGCATTTCCATGGCTACACATCCTTGGTTATTTTGTATTCAGTTGTCTTGTATATTTGAGCTTTTTAGATTAATAGCCTCATTATTTATCAAAGCCTTCCTGTGGGCCATCAATACCATATCTCAATTCACAAATGGAAGACAGAACAATACATTCTAAGAATAAATTTACTGGTTCAAATAAAAGAAGACATGTATTTGGGGAAATTTAACAGAGCTGTGACAGATGACAAACCCTGTCATATGGGTTGACTGTTGCTGTATGTCAAGTCATGCCTACATTGAGTTACATTTCAACCACAGGGATACTAGTTCTGAGTCAAACAAACTCGTGCTTGAGTAATGAGCTTTTGTAGTTCCACGCACCTACAATATTGGTCTTGGACAAAAAAAAAACAAACCCTCTAAGAAAATGTTTTAGAACAAAGAAAAACTATACGAATGTGGAGGGAAATGGGAATCAGTTTTGGTACAAGATAATTATGAGTGTAACATCAGAGAGGAGGCAAACGGAGCTACAGGATACGTGTAAATCTCTTAGATCCATTTGATTTGGGGGGAGAATGACCTATTTCTTTTCTTTGACTATAACAATAGATAAGGATTTTGAGAAAACCAAATTTTTCCTATATCAATTTGAAAGAGAGTTCCTTTTTTTTTTTCAACTCAATTCTTTGCTCACTCCATGCTGTTTCCATTACAGAATATCTAGTCTTTGGGTTTTGTATATCGTAGAGTTTCGTTAATAACTGTCAACAGAATAATGACACAAGTAGAAGAGCTCTAGGAAGTACAGAGACACTGGTCATTTAGGTGAGAAGTGGACAATGAATGAAGCATCTCTAGGCCAGTAGAGATGGGTTAGTTCCCCTGCCTACTCTCTCTGACCTCCCTCTCACCTTTCCCCACTCTTCCAAATATTATGACTCTGCCATCTCGATCTCTTGTGCTCATTTCCCCCTCTCTGTTATTGTTATTACAGCACAGAGGGATTTTCCATCCTGGTGCAGCGCTCAACAGCAAAATATTGTCTTAACCTTCTAGCTGGGATGGCACAAGAGTTCTCCCAGTAAACTGTTTGGCTTAAAATAGAGATTGGCTGGACCAGAAGAGACAGAGATGTTATCTAAACCATTCGCTTATTTTTCATAAAAATATTTAATTCCTACTATTTGAGAATTAGTAGAATAAACTGAAAATTAACATCCCATACATACAGGCCAGGATGTCAGAATAAACACCTAATTAGTCCTTTAAACTATTTATATCATGCATCCTTTATGCAGATTCCTACTTAATTCCAAAGAGCACTCACAACAGAGGGTAAGTAGGAGCATGCGTGTACACACACACACACACACACACACACACACACACACTCTCTCACACATACAATATAGTTACAGTAACCTTAGAGCAAAAACAGTGAGAAGAGCTCTGAGGAAAATAACTCTTTTTTTAGCCACTTTCTTCAGAAGTTTCCATATCAAATAAATTGCATTTTATGCTCATGTTGTCTCTCTGTGATTCTTTTAAAGCAGCAATGGAAACGAAGTTCAAAGACAAGAAAGCCCTTAATTTCATCAATCTCAACAAGAGCCGTCTTAAAAAGTATTGAACTCTTCCTAATAAACTGTCAGCCAGCTGTCAGCCGCAAACTACATTTGCTGCAGAATTCACGGGCCCGAAGCATTATCATTATCAATGTGTAGGATGCTTCAAGGCACTGATAAAGTTACCTGGCGTCAGCAATAAGTGTCCACCCAGCTCAATTAGAAAAGCTTTCTTTTAGATGGTGTTTGGTAAGTATGTTTAAGAGACCAGGTATTTGTAAGGTGGCAGCCTGGCTAGGGGAAAACTTCCCCTTTTCACAGTTTCTTAAGAACACCACGCGTCAGTAACCCATTGTCCTAGGATAGGGTAACTCTCAAGTACAAAAGAGAAGCCCAAGTTCAGTCTCATTAAAGGACTCTGGATCACAAATAAGAGGTGGTGTTTATGTAAGGATTTTACCTAGGATTTATCCAGAGTAGGTAAAGTTCTCATTAAATCATAAAAAATATATAAGCAACTATGTAGCTCTGTTTTAGAAAAAAGAAAGGACTGATTTAAAAATAAGCCCTAGTGTTCTTATTTATCCAAGCTTCCAATAAGTCAGGGAGGTATCTTTCAGAATTTAATTTCAAAGAATTTCAACAGTGGAATTTATCAGGCTAAAAGCAACCTTCCCACAAGAGGTGACCTAGCCCCCAGCTCTGCCGTGAACTGCAGGCATTTCCCTCCATCAGCTGCTGTAGGCACGTGCGTGAGATCCCCACTCTAATGACCACAGTCACTTTAAGAATCAAAATGAGTAACTAGCAGCAATTAACGTGAGACATATCAGTAATAAACTTGACCTTATATTAATGGTTTCAGAAGCCACTGTTGCTGCGGTCATACGACCCAGCGAGCCCAGAATGTCTGCCATGCTGCCTGCATGAACACCACTGAAATCAAACAATGTTTGCACTGGAAAGGCATAAAGGAAAAACAAAATCTAATTATTAAAAACAGAAAGTAATAATATGAGGGCAGTTGCTGCTGTTGTTGTTGTGCACCGTAGACTCAGAGCTGACCCTCGAGTAGGTTTGCGGAGGCAGTTAATCGCACAGGAGGAGACTGACCATCCGTCTCCTGCGGAGCTTCTGGGGAGCCTCAAACAGTGAGCCTTGGGGATTGCAGTAAAGCTTCTTGCCACTAGGCCACCATATGAGGAACTGAGCACGTAACTAATTTCCATTGAGAAAGATCATGGCAAGATTGGAACCTGCCCTCGCAGCTGGGATTTCCTCATAGATTACAGATAATTTACCCAGGCATTTGATTCAGTGGCGCAGTCTTAAAATTGGCAAGACAAATCTTTGTCTTGAGTTATTTAAAAAACAAAACAAAACACAAACCCATCAGATAATTTAAATAAAAAGGTTTCAACTTTCCTTCACTCCAGCTATATGTATTAATAAGGGTTTACCTTCCTACCTCCTTCTGCACTGAAACTTGTATTCTAGAATTGCTTCGATTTCCTGTTTAGCCCTGCTATCTAGCCGTTTTGAAATACACACAAGCAAACAGACTTACTGTGCAGCCAGGCTGCTGGGAGATAGTGTCTGTCCATCATCTGCACTCCAAGGCTGGGTGGTATTCTGAGAACCATCTAGATGGAAAACAGTTACATGGTGAGAAATAATCACATATTAATTTAAATAATTTGTTGCTATAGTTTTTGCTCAAGAACACTACCGGGGGTTAAGCTGATGGAATGAGAAGGGGGGAAAATGCAGAACGTTTCTTCCAAAGCGTTTTACAAAGGACAGCCATGCTCTTTTTGTTGGAAACATTTAGGAGAATTCTAAGAACTAGATACCTATGAATAAGAATGATCTCAATGGCCAAGTGCACGCGTTTCTAACAAATTCTTTCTCTGCACATGAGATTGGTACATTATTTGATTCCAAGAATCTGTCTGCCTAGAAACTCTCAGTTCTGGGATGAAGATTGACTGCCATGTGATTTGTTAATCAAATGAAGCCAATTTCAGTCTTAAGTGTCATTGGATTTCTTTTCCCCTTCAGTTGTCTAAAATGTAGCTCTAGGAAACAACTGCCATCACTAATCTATATTTTCCATCTTTCAAACAGCGGCTTTGCTCACAGTTGGATGCAGCCGTGAATACAAATGGGCAAATATTAGCAGAACTTCCTTTTGGGTACGTCTCAAATAATGTGAGGGTGTAGACTGTGGATGGTGGTCAGTGACTTGGGACTGAAGGAAACCAGGCGTGAAGATCTAATTCAACACCTTGAATTACCGCAGAAGGTAAATGGGTTGTTGATGCAGCTTCCCACAGCATAAGGTCGTATCACAAAACCGCAACAATGAAAACAAAAATTCCTTCAATGGCCATTGCATAAATAAGAATGCCACACCTCCCATTCTTTCCTTCACTCCTTTTAGAAAAAAAATGATGCCACTTATTTTAGTCTTCTCTTCAGTCACTACTGTTTCTTATAAATAAACCAGTGTTTTTCAATGTTGCCCCTTTTAAATATCAGTCTAGTTGCTTCCAATAGACTAATTTATCATCAGCTTTAATAGTGCTTTGACTGCTTCTGGGTGGTACACTTGAAGGCCTTCTAGAAGACGGTTCATGCAAAGCAGTTAGAGCTTCCCACGTTTTTCTGGGGCTGAGTATTTAGTTGACTTAAATTGGCATTCTGCAAAAAAGACAGTCACAAAATTACAACTGCCTTGCCAGCCTTCTGTGCAAGTTGTGTTTAAGTAACGTCTGCAGTCTCCCTCGTAGACGGCAGAGTCCTTTTCCATTTTCCTGTTCAGCAGAGCCGTTTCCTAAGGTGCAGCTGAATGTTACTGCTCCTTTCCAGCATCTCCCACAGCCCGGTTTCTGCTGGTTAAACCCACAGGAAGGCAAAGAGGCAGACTGACTGAACACAGTCAACAGTAATAATGAGTCAAATCCAAACCCACTGCCCTCAAGTCAATGCCGGTTCACGGTGATGGTCCATCCCGTTTCTGAGGCTGTAAATCTTAGCAGGAGGAGACTTCTTTTTCCCTTGAAATGACTAGTATATTTGGGACCAATGACCTTGCAGTTAGCAGTCCAACACTCAACACATTGGGCCACCAGGGGTCTTTAATAATAGTAATGTGTCTTACGCATTAATGTGCATGTGCAGAATGTTCAAAGACAGTTATATTGCGATTTGTGCTTTTGCTATGTAAAATAGCTAAACTGCTTTTTCTAAGATCAAATTTCCCTCCATTTTGCACTTCTGCTTCTGTGCCATGTGGAGCCTGTTAACTGGCATTTGTATTGCATGTAGCTATGATGTCTGTCTTCTTCATTTAGTTATTAAAGTGAGTAACTAAGAGGAATGAATTTCAGAAATGTCAGTGTTAGACTCGGCCCTAAGCTAAGAGCATCCCCCCTCTGGTCATGAAGGAGTATACTGCATCTTGGTGGACTGTACTCCATTGGAATTAATGAGGTGAAAGTGTTAACAGACCTTTAAAAGTGAGATTCTACTATGAGGGGGACATCATTCTTGGAAGGTTGGAGGGACAACACAAGAAAGGAAGATGCTGGATGAGATGGATTGACTCGGAGACTAGAGTAATGGGAGCTAGTGTTTCAGAGAAAATGAGGTTGCCTCAAGATAAAGCCGTTGTACCTAGGGTCGCTATGAGTCACAAGCAACTTGACAGCACATAACAACAGCAACAACAGATGGACCTTAGCTGAGAGCATAGAGTAACAGAGGAATGTCAATCTCTGTTTCATTGACTATGCAAAGGCATTTAACCGTGTGGACCACAACAAATGTAGCTAACCTTGAGAAGAATGGGACTTGATTGTGCTCATGCGAGAAACCTATACTTGGACCAAGAGGCAGTCATCAGAACAGAACAAGGAAATGGTTCATAATCAGGAAAGGATAGCATCAAGGATATGTCCTGTCTCCATACCTTTTCAATTTATATGCAGAACAGAATTCGTTTTATAGAGATAATAAAGATACATTGCTAGAAAAAAGTGAGATTCTACCTCTTTCTCATTTGGAGGGTCAGACGTGCTTTTAAACGGTACACATGGACACACAAGGAGAACATAGACAACCTTTTTTCACCACGATGGATGGCTTTGGGATTTCTATCTAAAAACGTAATTTCAAATAGCTTACTGCAAAGTCACAAAGGTAATCTCTGAACTCAGACTCCAGTGTCATAAATGGGAGCGCTAAAGGTTGTGAAGTCTGTCACAACGACCCCAATTAGGGAAGGGCTGGGAATCAGGTCCCTTTAATACGGGGAGTTCAGAAGCAACTTTCTTCCCAGGGTTCTACCACCATCTCCACAGTTAGCACAGCAGAGCTGCTGAGGAATCTGCATTCACAATAGATGATGGCCCAGAGATGGAGCCAGGGCAGGGGAGGCTGGTAGAAATCAGAGCACAGAGAGAAATGGTGAGGGGCAGGGTTGGTCGTGAAAACGTTTATCACGTAGGAAGAGTCTGGTGTGATGAGCCAGACTCCGTCAAACGCAGCAGCAGTTCTGAGGTCTGGTGGTGGTAGGTCCCACGTCTCAGCCAGGGACCCTGGAAGTGAGTGTTTATATGTCACAGGGAACAGGAGGGAGGCAGTCTCCAAAAAGTGCTCAAGGGCTTTGGGGAGAGACACCTCTGCCCAATAGGTAATACAGGCTATGGCGTCTAGCTTCCCTGTGGCTCAATTTGGTTGGTTGGTAAAATGGGATGCTAACTAGGATTGTTTTGTGGATGAATAACTGTAAGATAATGAAGCACTTAGCCATAAAACAATTAACATCATTGTTGTTGTTGATTGCCTTAAAGTTGAGCAGTACTCATAGTGAACAAAAGCCCTGAAGCCCCTCTACAACTATCAACATTTATCAAAGTTCATAGAGTTTCCAGAGACAAGTTGTTTAGGAAGTGGATGCCTCTCCTGCTTCCAAACTAAATGTTACTTGTTAATTTCACTGAACTTTGGCGGCCTAGTCCAGACGGCTCTGACTCCAAGGCAACGTCTCCCTAGTGGTTTAAATCCGCCAGTGGCTCTGAGGGAGAAAGGTAAGCAATCTCTTCATGTGTGAATGCTCATCTTAGAAATTTGCTGAGGGTCATTGTGAGTTGATTCTGACTTAAGAGCAGTGAGGCTTTGAGCTTATTCTTTTCATCATTGAAGAAATATGTTTACGGCATTGAAGTCTATGGGGGAGAGAATAGTCTAAAAGTATTATATTTTAGGGCATTATTTTTATCGTAGGAGTATGCAATGAG